GTCTGATCTCGGAAGCTAAGCAGGGTCGGGCCTGGTTAGTACTTGGATGGGAGAATTAAACTTATTATGCATACTTGGTTTGCCTTTTGTGTATGTACCATGATTTTGTTTAGGATATATCAGATGAACAGTATAATTGGTAAGGCAGAGAACTAAATAAATGTTTACTCTTTATTTACTGTTCATTTTTAAATCCCTGTCTAGATTTGGAGGTTGATATGTGGAAGACTAATTTGCCTTGATTTGAAAGATACTTTCTGCAGTAGTCTACTTATTTATAATTTTAGGATATTTGAAAGAAGATACGGGAGCAGAAAATTTGCAGTAAGTTTTTAATATATTTTGCCTTTGCTTTTTAGGTTATAGAGAAATCTTTTTGCCTTTCTCCCTTCCCATTTTAAAATGGGCTTTGTTTACTTAAACTTAGTTTATTGTTTATAATTATCTTTCTAGTTACCTGATCCTATACTGATTTGGGGCATGGATATCAACTAAAGAAAAATTTAAAATTTAAGACAGGGCCGGGGATATATAGCTTAGTGGCACAGTGGCTGTCTGGCAAATGTGAGGTCATGAATTCAATTCCCAATACAAACAAATAAGTAAGTAAGAAATTTAAGGCAAAAGCATAATAAAATGACATGATACTAATGAGATACTATTAGTTATGAGCACATAATAAAATTTTTATTAAGACTGTTTAATAAAATTGTAGTCACTGTATTTTGCATAATGGTTTATGTATTACTTGTTAAAAATATATCTTCCTATATGTATCATTTCTTCAATATATTTAGGAAGTATGGAAGCTAATGCATTTGAATAGTGTGGTTTTATTCCCCAATTTTGAGAAGTCTATTCTAATAAAAAAAAAAAAAAACTAAAACACACACAGACACACATTCCCAAGCTGGTTCTAATTAAATAAATGTTTATTTTTGGCCACTCATTTCTTTCATGCTTTTCCTGTCTTATTTTTTAGTCCTTTTTGCTGGGGGCCTGGGTTTTGTCAGCTTTATTTGACTTCATCCTCGTGGAAGCCGTGCAGTATTCATTTGGCGTTGCTGCTGCCAGTAATTTGCCTTCTGGATTGTAAGTAGCTCTTAAAGAATGGCTTAACTTGGAACTCTTAAATATAATTTAAAGTATTATTGTTGATGCAAGTCAGTAAAAGAAAATTTTTCAGTTTTAGGTGGAGTGAAAGAAATGTACCCTTACATACTCATGATGCTTTAGAAGCATCAACTTACAGTAACACTTTTTTTTTTTTAAGCTCTTACATTCTGTTTTAGAGAATTTTTAATGGCTTTGCTATTTAGGGACTGTGTTATGTATATTGATAGTGATATTTCGTATTTGTAATTTTGTCAACTAATTAAAAAATAAAACATTTAATTAGGTTAAGAAGTAAAATAAATTTGTATGAAGTTGTTTGTTGAGTGTTTTTAAAGCTTGTGTGGTTTATATGGCTCCACCAAAGGTAAAAGGAAGTGACTGCGTAGGTCGCAGCGTTGCGCGGAACTTGGAGCAGCCAGTGCGCTCAGCGTATGTGTGCTTGCCTGTCGTGAAGAGCCAGAGGTGGTGGCGTGTGTGCAGTCCTGGTACTCAGCAGGCTGAGGCGGGATTGCTGTGAGTCTGAGACAAGCGTGTGCTGTATGAGTTCAAGGCCAGAACGACACAGCAAGACACTGTCTCAACTACAAACAAAACGAAAAGACCCCTTCAAAACCCAAAGCTGTGTGTTGGTGTGGCCCTGAGGCGTCTCTAAATGAGCAACATGATGCTATATTTGGGAGTGAGATAGTGTGAAATACAGATACTGGATATTTAAAATTCTGTGTGTACTAACTTTAGCTTTGTTTTAATTGTAAATATCTAATTTTGAGAACTGTTAGGCTTTTGTATGTATCTCAGTTCCGATTCCCTTGGGATTCCTGTTTTAAACATGCAGTGTCCTATTAGGTTTTAGTTATACTGTTAGTGCTTATAGTGTAGCTTTCCTTCATGGGAGTTTTGAATTACACTGGCAGTGAAGATCTATGACTGTTGACCACTAGCTATTTTAATAATATGTGCTTCTGACTCATATTTTAGTGGCAGACAAAGTTCTGTGGTCGTAATTACTGTGCAGGTTTGGTTTGCGAGTCTCAAGGATAAGGCATTAGCTGAGAATTTCGAGTTGACTTCTGATCTTGTAAACCTGGTGCAGTCAGTAGGAAGGGGTCATGTTAATTCAGGAAAGAAGCAGCGTTGCTAAATCGTCATTTCTCCCGATCTGTTTTACATCCAAGTTAGTTCTTTGGTTTTTTGTAAAGCCTGCTGAGTTGTGGAAGAGTATGCATGTGCCACGTGTGTTTGCACTGCAGTGCATTCGGGGTGGGGGTAGTTACAGCCTTTCGTATTTGTGTGGACTCCTCGCCTGGGGTTGCTTGCTTTCTCCTGCACTTAGAGCCAGATGACAGTAGAACCTTTATGTTCTATTACAAAGTCCAGTTAACTGGTACATGAAAAAAGAGCTAATTTAGTTTTGAAGTTAGTGGGAGTTTTTTCTTTACTCTTGAGAGAGAAATATTTAAATCTCAGTTTGCAGCAAGTATTGCAAATTTGCATAAACTCCAAATTATATAGTGTGCCCTTAGAAAAAAAATGTGAATGTTAATTCAGCCATGTCTGAATGAAAAGATATTCCCCTTTCTGTTCAAGTCATGAAACATCTTCGTACTTTTTTTAGAATTTTTTTTTTTTTTTAATGTATTTGTGACAGGGTCTACAAGGTCTCAACTGTGTAGATCAGACTCATAGGGATACTCCTGTTTTCAGCCTCCCAAGCGCTGGGATTACAGGCATGCACCATCACACCCAGTCTAAGTCTCTGTCTCAGCGTACCTTAGGGGCAGAGTCGGCACAGCTTGTGGTGCCGGGAATTGAACCCCGGTCTCTGTGCTCTGCCTAAGCAGGTGCTTCAGTCCACTGAGCTATCCTATCTAGCTGGCCCTTTTTTAGAATTTTGATGCTTCTACAAGAATGAATTTCTTGAAATGTGGGTCCTTGCTTCAATAAATAGATTTTGAGCTTTGTAAGTTTATCTTTTATTGATGATAGCAAAGCTTCATCAACAATGTAGTCTTTCTTAAGGTGGAAATTAGTCTGTCTTAAAATGCTTTATATACTTTGTGTTGTTTTTTATGTAACATCTTTTTCTTTGCCATTAATGTGAAATTTATCTGCTTGTCATACAATTTTTTACTCTATTTAATTATTATTTTATTCATCACTATTAAAACTTCTCTTATAAAGATGTCCAGTAACCACCAAATTCCTAAAGTTACCAGTCATCCCGCCCACTGTCCAGTTGCAGATTAAATGCTTTTGACCTCTATTTCCTGAAGCCTCCAGCTCCCTCAAATCCCAGCACAGTCTCTCTGGGTCCTGTCTGACCTTAGACACTGTCTGCGCCTCTCTTCTCCAGCTCACACCCAGTGTGGTGTTTGGTTGTTTGATAACTGCTGTGACTGCATTGACTGTTCACATCTGTTGTTTGTTTCTTAGCCTCTATTCCTAGCCCTGTACTCTCCTGATCTTTCTACAGTCATGTTTCCTAATGGCTTCTAGACTCAAAATTTAGCCATATTTAGAAATTTGTTTTGTCTTCCTGTCTCACTCTCCCCTTATCCCCTCTGCCTTTTGGATTCCTTAATGATATTTGCATGGACTTGGTTGTCCAAGCTGTACATACTCTCCCGGGGTAGGGTACTGAGACTTACTAATTCGAAGACCTAAACAGCTCATTTGTTCATCTTTTTCTCTACTTCTGCAGTCATTGCCCCAGTCTAATCTTTGATCTTTTCTTACATGAATTTTTTTTAGTAATTCTCTAGTTTCCCTGCTGATTTCAGAGCATTCTTCGTAATGCTGTCAGAGGTTATTTTATACCTTTCTTGACTGTGCCGTCTTTGCTATTAATACCTTTAAATTCTCCAGTCCTTCAGAACAAAGGTCAGATTCCTCCACGATGCCACCAGGCTGTCTGAAATAGTGGGAGTGGCAGGGGCTTTGTCATCACCGATTTGAGATTCCAGCTGTGCCACTTTCTAGGCATATGAACTCTTGAGCAAGTAGCTTCTCTGAAGTTCTGTTGCTGAGCTGTCTGTACAGATAACCATCATGTGTCAGTTCAAGGTACTCTCTGCTTCACAGCCCAGTGTAGAGAGATAAATAAACTCATTCACACGGAGAAGCTTCCAGTAGATCCTACCCTATCTTTTGCTGTTTCCATTTCTTTAAGATCTTACAATCTGACCACCATCCAGCGTTGCAGTGTTTCCCCCATCAGTCATTGGCCTTTCTTAACATGCTGTATACAGTATCTACATTCTCTTGCCTACTTGATGTGCTTTTGGCTCCCTTTTCTTGCTTTTGCCAGGATTCATTGTCTTTTTATGTATATACAGTAAATTTTATTAATATTCCTGTTGGTATTTACCATATTATTATATTATTACTGTATATGCCTCTGATGCCACCTCCCAGCCGTTTGAGGGAGAATCCAGTTTTCCATTGTTTACTTATTTCCTTATACTCAGTAATATTGAAGGGATGGTCCTGATTACAGTGAGTCCCAGACTGTGAGGCCAGATCCTTGAGCCAAACATAGACCTGTTCATCTGTTCTACTAGTGCTTTGCATAGAAGTTATACCTGACATAGGGCTGGCCAGATAGCTCAGCAGATTAAACTACCTGCTTAGGCAGACCCAAGGATTGGGGTTCAATCACTGGCATGCTGTGCCAGCCCTGCCCCCTAGGGCGTGCTGAGACAGCAATTAAGACTGGGCATGGTGGTATGTGCCTGTAATCCCAGCGCTTGGCAGGCTGAAAACAGGAGGATCGCTACAAGTCCAATCTGTGTAGTGAGACCTTCTAGGTCCTCTAGACCCTGTAGACTCTACTAAATACATTAAAAAAGAAATTTTACCTGAGATATGATTAGTAGTTGTTATTTAAATTCAGAAAATATAACCATTGGTTTCAATAAAGTTCCATTGTTAAAAGCCATATGTGTGTATATGTATGAATATATATGCATATGTATCTTATGTCTAGTAACCCATGCCTGTCACACGCCCACTCTTAGGCACTGTACTTATTTTTTATAGGTATTAGTACTTTTTTTTTTTTTAATTTTATTTATTTATTTAAGTGTGTGTGGCCAGTTCAGCCCACCAAGGGGGCGGGGCTGGCTGGCATGTGGTGCTGGGGGATTGAACCGTGGTCCCTGTGCTTTGCTTAGCTTAGTTTGTTCTAAGTAGGTGCTTTAGACCACTGAGCCATCTCACCAGCCCCAGGTATTAGTACTTGCATGGTATATTGTTTTCTGGAATCAAACTCCAGAATAGAATTTTTACATATTTTGTTAAACTGTGCCTAATTACACTACTGAGTTTTCCATTAACAATTTATTTAGGGGGGGTACCAGGAATCTTTTTTTTTTTTTTTTTTTTTTGATTAACTGCTTTAGATTGTCTGTAATTTTATTGTGAGAATGAATATGCATTTTCACTTGTCTTGTTGTGCTTTGTGCTTTAAGACTACACTGTTCTTTCAATAAACTATTGCAGAGAACTTTCCACTTAATAAACTGCAGAAAAGGGATTCCTCTTTAGAGTTGAAAGTAGACTATGACTATGTATCTTTTTTTCTGCTCTCAGTGCTGAGGACTGAACTAAGGGCCAAAGTACTGTTTTGTTAGATTTCTTTCTTTCTTTCTTTTTTTCTTAAGAATATGCATGCATCCATGTGTTCTCTAGAAATCCATTTATAACCAGAGCACATGTGTTTGGTTCTTCGTTCCTCTAGGAAATGATCATGTTAAGAGTAATAAGGTCATTCAGCGGAGAGGGGTTAATGGTTGAATCTTTTTTTTTTTACTTCCATATTATTTAGAATGATAGAAGTTTTATGAATTATAGTTTTCCTTTTCTTTTAGTTGGAGAAGTTATTTGGTTTGTTACTTTATGGAGAAGTTAAATAGCCATGGTAGGATAAAGTATCTAAGATCCCCCAATTAGGGCTACTTACGCTATGACATAGAGCTTGGAAAAATCTGTCTTTTGTAATATATTTGATTACATAAGAAGAGCAAACTGTCAACATTGGAGAAAAATTTTTTACCACATAGCAAAAGCTCACGTCATAGGAGTGAATTGGATTGCTCGGCAGAAATAAGATTTCAGGTCAAGTTTCTATCATAATCCTATGTAGTCTATTTTCAAAAGAAAATGAATTGACAGTAGGGAAATGCCAGCGGCTGTGGGTTCTCCACGCCCCTCTGCTGCTTGCCATGAGGAATTTTGCTGTGACCTAGTGATGTGTTGAGTTGAACATAGTGGCTTGTATAAAAATCACAGAAATGTGGGGGTTAGAATGGTAAGTATTGAATTTAGACCTTCCGTCCTGAGTGTAAGTTAGACATGAAAGAGGCACATCTCCATGGAAAGCAGTTTAGCAGTAGCTGGTGTTTCTCATATGGTCACTTGCAGACAAGATTAATCCAAAATGTTAAGCCAGTTTTCTGTATGGATTATGGTTTGAGTATGAAAAATATTTGGGTATATTTTCTCTGTTAATTCATGAAAATGTTTTATGTGTGTTTTGTTTTGTTTTGTTTTGTTTTGTTTTGTTTTGTTTTGTTTTGTTTTTGCGGAACTGGGGATTGAACTCAGGCCCTTGTGCTTACCAGGGAAGTGCTTATTCTGCTGAGCCATCTCCCTGGCCCCTTTTATGTGTTTTAAAATGAAAATAATAAAAATTAAAATCAAGATATTGAATCATGTTGCCACAATGAGAGTTTTAAAATTCAAAAAGTTTTTTTAAAAAAGAAACAAACGTTTTTGAAAGTTCATGTAGTTTATTTTAAAAGTTTATTTAGATAAACTTGATAACTATCACGCAGAATCTCCAGTAACACTAGAACAGTTGGAAAAAGGAATTTAAAGAGACTGAAGAGGAGCAACTTCTTCTCTTCATAACATTTCGCTGTTGATGTTGCTCAGCGACCGTAAACTGCCGGATCGGAGACTGGAGCGGAAGCTTTTCCTGCGCACGCTGCGGAGGTAGTTGCGGTACAGCATGACGCTAATGACTCGCGCCTGAAACTGTTTGGAAACTATGTAGTAGAGAATCACATCGAGGCAGGTGCTGAGGTTCATGAGGAAGGTGGTGAAGGCGCCCCAGGGATTGTAGCTGTTGTCTTCCCCATCCAGCATGAGGAAGGCGAAACAGATGTGGAAAGGCGTGAAGCACAGGAGCACCTGCAGCAGCAGCGTGATGATGATCCGGATGGACTTCTCCTTGACCTTGGGCTTCAGCTTGGACGTCCTGCCGTGGAGGAGACTGTGAATAATGACCAAGTAGCACCCGATCATGATGAACAAAGGGACCAAGAAAAAAAAGATCAGTCTAGTGAAGTTCAGCACATTGACGGCTTTTAAGTGGATGATGTCGGAGAGCTTCAGGCAGGTAGCGGGGGAGGAGGCTCTGTCTGGGTCTTCGTGGAGCAGCAGCAGAGGGACGGTGGTGGCCAGGGTCATGATCCAGACTCCTCCACATGTGAGCATGGCTTTCCATGTGTTTTTGAGTTCTTTGGCATACTTTGGCTGCACGATCGCCATGTATCTGTCAGCACTAATAAAAGCAAAAAGCCATAGAGCAATGCTTGGGTAAAACACTACAAGAACCCCAAGAATGTGGCAGAAGTATTCCCCGAATGGCCATTCACCTTTTGCATAGTAAAACATTCTAAAGGGCAGAGTCATTATGAATATTAAGTCCAGCAGTGCCACATTCATCATGTAGATGGTTACAGTGGTTCTTTTCTTGGTGGTACAGCTGAAAACCCATAATGCAGTGACATTAACAAATAATCCGATGATGAAGATACAGCTGTAGAAAACAAGGGCTGCGATTTTGTATTCATCTGGATATGAGCTGTTGGAAGGGACAGGTTGGTCCTGGTTGCTTGGGGTGGTCATCTTATAGCTTGCTGATAGGCATGATACTTAGAAAGTGTAAACACAGTTTTTAAAAGAATTAGAATAAGACCCTTGGTTGAAAAGTAGATGCTTTTCATTCTTACACTTTTCTGGTTAGTGAATTTTATTTTTTTAATTTTAAGAGCATTTAATGTTGTAAACTCAATAAGGAATATGTTCTCTAGAGGTTATTACTATTATGTACTAATTTTTTCACCTATGCTGGGAATCAAACGCAAGGCATCCTGCATACCAGGCACACATTTTACCACTGAGCTAAACCCCCAGCCCTGATACTGTGCTTGTCTGGTAAAGTGGCGTGGATGTCAGTGCTCTGGCAAAAGCATTCGTGTTCATTCTCTCTACCACCTTCCTTCCTCCCAAAGAATATGCTTTCTTTATGATTCTCTTCTATAATGTGAAATTGGAGAGCATTGTTTGATGAGACTAATTGAGCAGAAATCAATCTGGATGTTAAATATTATGAAAATGGTCTGCCATTATTTATCATCCTCATTCTGTTTACAAATTTAGTTACCAAAATGAGAAATGTCCAAATAATTTTTAACTCATTAGATACAATTTCAATATGAAAATATATTTTAAAAAATGAACAAAAGAACCATATTGGTTATTACTGGACAGTACATATGAGAGGAGAAACTTTTTTTTTCATTCCTCTGTCTTCACTGTCTATCCAGCACACAGTGAGTGTTCAACAAGTAAATACTTGTCAAGTGAAGGATGGCTTTGACGAGGTGACCATCAGCAGCTCTTACCTGGTTTCTCAAGGAAGACTTTCATAGCTGCCCATTAAACCCTTCTTATTACTGTTATTAAAGTGATAATTGCTTTATGGACTTTTAGCTAAGATAAAATGTAGTATCTGTTCTTATTAGTTTAATATTTGATGTGTCTTCTATGTAAGGACAATGTATTCAATAGATTTTTGGAGCTGGGGAATAGACTAGGAGCTTCCTCTCTCCATTCCGGGCATTGACCTGGTATCGTGGTATGTTCTGGAATGATGCCCCCTCTCCAGGGAAGTAAATGGCTGCCAAGCTCAGAGAAAAAAAAAAACAAACAAAAAAACCCCAAAAAACCATTTTCCTTCATAGTATTGTTATATTCTCTTTGAGCTATCATAGGTCTAGAAACAGCAGTGTTCTGTGTCATGGTCTTTAGATGGAGGGCTGAACTATTGATGAGTTATTTTTAGTGCATAGTAGGGTGAGCCCAAGGCCAAGACTGCCGGGTCACTAACCCCTGTCCCAGAAGCTGATCTCAGCCACCTCCTTGGTGCAGAGAGAGGTGCCTTGAAAAGTTAGTGTGGTAACTTGCACTGAAGTGTCTGTACTATTTGTCAACTTAAGTTTCATAGAAGAGTAAATCTAAGAGAAGTAGTGGAAAGTCACTTGGCAACTTGATGTATATATAGGAACAAATAAATTTCTGTCACCCAGAAAATGTGTCCATTTCAAGTGGGAAAGGATTTAGCTGTGATTGTGAATATCACTGGCTCCCATGGTGTGAAACTTCCCTCGCCAGTGGTGCAGCTGCCATCAGAGGTCTTAAAAATAGCCTTGCTACAAAGAGGTGGAGCCTCATAGCACCTCCTTGAAGAGTGGCGGTGTTAGAAAAATGTTACTTTGTAGGATGACTTTTCTCTGAGTCAGCCCTGATCTCTCTTTAGGGAAGACTGGGGAGATCAGCAGCAGCCTGTCATCCGTGCATCATGGGCTCTTGATAAAAATTAGTTTGAGCAGTTGCTGTGGACAAATACAAGACAAGGAGTTTGTTCTTTCCCTCCTGCCCTTCCTTTCTTCTTTCCTATTTTATTTCCTTCTTGATTTCCTAGTTTGTCACTGATTTGGGTTAAATATGATTTTAAAATAGAATTCTATATGCCTAAAAACCTATGTTAGATTTTCCAAATATTGATGTAGCTAGATATTAATTTCTATGAAATGAGAAAAGTACTACATAGAAAAATTCAAACTTTCAGTAGCATACAGAAGGGAATAACTTAGAGTCTCACATCTGAAATTTTATTTTTAAAGCTCAGTGGATTTATAAATAGTAGCAATTATAATGTAAATGAAATTTTGTTTTCTTTTTTCTCCACCAGTCCCCTCCTCTCATAAAGTTCTGTGCTTATAAACTGTCGTAAATCTTCCCCCATTTGGGCTGAAGCTCCTCTTATGAAGTCCCATTTCTCATCAGCACTTTTATTCATTTGCATCAGTTTGAAAAAAGAACAATGAGAGATGCATCCAAATGTCTTAAATTATACACAGCATAGGTTGTGCTGTGCAAAGACAGTTGCTTTGGGTATTGAACAATTGGCTTTCAAGTTAACGCTGAAAAACTTTAGATTCTGTGATTATCTCTGGTTATTCTTTCCTTAAAAGCAAGTAATTTCATGAAACAGTGCAATTCAAACTGTGTGGCAAAGACACTTAAATGTATTTATGATTTATCACATCAGCATTTTCTTAATTTGAAAAAATAATACTTACAGTTAATATAAAAGAATATTGAAAAAAGTATAAAATCATATATTATGGAAGATGATAGTGTAATCTATTCAAAGTCCTTCATCAATGTCATTTCTGTAATTTTTTAAACAGTGAACAATGAGTAACTAGGCAAAGCTTTCCTTCTGACAGTGATCTATTAATTGAATGTTGCTTACCTTCTTCCGCTGGTCAGAGGGCTGTCGTAGAAGTGAGCATTTTCTGGTATACTCAGTGTGTAAAGAAGTATTTCTGAGTTGCTTGTGTTAAAATATCTCTGTCTGGAGATGGTGTATTAAGCTCGCTTGTTCTTCGTTGATAGAGGAGTTGGCTGTAATTGCTTCTGTGTCTCTTTCAGGAAGTGCTCTTTGAAATAACACCTTTTCAATTTACAACTTTGCCCTGGATGTGGTTTTTCTTTTTCACAAGTAATTTGTTTATGAAATCATGCTTAGCATAAGCTCCTCTTGAAATGATGGCAAATATTTAAGACAGTCATATGAAAAGGGGAAATTTTCTTTAACTGTTTACTTTGATGCTTAAGGTCTGCATCATTTATGAAAGAGAAGGTTTGATGTTGAGTGGAACAGGGTTCAAGGCTTATTTACTTTGACAATGACCATATCTAAGCTGTATGACCTTATCTAACTACTTAACCACTCTGCGCCTTTGTTTGTAATTAGCTTCTATACAGTTAAAAAATAGATGTACCCATGCAGTGGGATTGTGAGGACACTAGTTCAGAAGAATTGCAAGCTCTTAACAAAGCACCAGGGCACTTAGTAGCTACGCTTGAGCAGTGTCTCTTACTACCATGTTCCTAAAGTCCTAGTGCATCCAGGTTTTACCATTTAACCTTTGTTAAACAGTTACAACCAGACGTCAGTTATGTGTTTCTATTAATTTGTTTCCTCAAGTATTTGTTTCCACATACATTTACCCACTTGAGTTTTATGTTGCAAGTCTTCAATGCTTTGTATACCTTTTTTTTTTTTTTTTTTTTTTTGTGGAACCGGACATTGAACTCAGACCCTTGCGCTTGCCAAGAAAGCACTTATTCTATTGAGCCATCTCCCAGGCCCTCTATCCCCTTTTTATCAGATGGAAGTCTGGTTATAATTTTTTTCTATGAAGATCCCTGCAAATCTTGACAAAAAGGACTCTGGAAGTCATCATAGGAAGTAATTTATATATTGAGGAGCGTTTAAACCTAAAAAGGGAAATGAAACCAAGGGAGGGGAAGTGAGCAACCCGTACCATTGCCTGGCTAGTCATGTTCATGTTTAAGCTTTCCTCTTTCTTTATTTTTACTTTTTATTTTTTATTTTTTTGTATCTAGTACAGGGTCTCATGTAGATCAGACTTGTAGTGATTCTCCTGTTTTCAGTCTCCCAAGCACTGGGATTATAGGCGCTCCCCACCAATCCCTATCTCAATCACCATTTCAGCATGCCCCAGGGGCGGGACCAGTATGGCAGACCCCTGTGTCTGCCTAAGTAGGCACTTTAATCCACTGAGCTACTTGGCCGGCCAAAAAGTTGAGAAGGATTTTTTTTTTTTTTTTGGCTGGCTCAGGCTGCCTTAAGGACAGATCTGGTATGGTATGTGGAACTGGGGATTGAACCATGGTCCCCTGCACCTGACTGGGTTTGCTCAAGCAGGTGCTTAAACAATTGAGCTAACTAGCAAGTGCCCCCACCCCTTTCTTTAAAGAAAATCTTGGCCTACCTTTTTAATTATTTTTGATTCAGTTATGCTCATTTTGTCAACTTTTAAAAGGTACTTTAGGGGCTGGGGAGATGGCT